TTGATTTAACAATTCAAATTCAAATTCGAAGCTAATGATCACTAAATAAATTCAGATTTAAAAAATAAAATAAATTTAAATAGAAACTCTAATTGAAGCAACAAATATATTTAAATTGTTAAACAGTTTTTATTATTTAAAAATTATTCTTGATCACTCTGACTAATTATTAAAAACACCATATTCTATTTAAAGAATTAAACTTTCTGCTATATTCTTCATGATATTCAAAATTAAATCTACTAACCAAATAAGTCAAGTTATAAAATTTATAGTTATGCAATTAAATACTAACAAAATGAAATATAGTAATATTAAAAAAGTAAAACCTTATAGATGGTTGTGCTTAAAAATGTGAAAATTCAAAGTAATCTTTAAATTATATAATAAAAATATAATCAAAATCATGAGAAATTCAAGAAAAAAAAACAACAAAAAAAAATTATTATAAAAAATTTTTTTATTGTAGTTTGCAAAATTATATAAAATTTGATCATTAAAAAAAAAGTGATCACTGATTTCTGATTACTGATTTCTGATTTCTTCAACATTTTTTTTGACTTTTAGATTTGACAAAATTTGCACATTTATTATTTGTAAAAATTTGATTGAATATTTTAATTCACAACTCCTATTTCTGCAAATATATTACAAAATGATGAGTATACAACTTTTATCTCCATAAAAATAATAAAATTTTTACAAAATAATAACTGCACAAATGTTGTCTAATCTAAAAGTCAAAAAAATATTGAAGAAATCAGAAATCAGTAATCAGAAATCATGATTACTTTTTTTTTAATGATCTTCAAATTTCATATAATTTTGCAAACTGCAATAAATAAATACTCTCCTTTTTGTGATCCAAGCCAAATTACTACAAAAATTCATTGGATTTACCTTTAAAATATATTGAACAAAGCCCTTTTTCAATTAATTTATTCTAATAGTATACCTTAAAAAAACTATCTGATTTTGCCATTAATACCACTAAAAAGATAATTAATTAATATTATAAATAAATTTTATACTAATCAATCAAGTATATAAAAAGCAATTTACCTTGGCTAGTAGTCTTCAAAGAATTCAAATATACAAACATTCTTGGTATCACTAAAGTATAATAAATTATATATATATATAAATTCTTACAATATATATCAAAAATATGTAAATGCATATATATTTTTTAAAATGGCATCTACCCGAAATCCCTACCCTAATAAAGAAGAATTATGCAACAAAGTATCTAATGAATAGAAAATACTAAAAAATGATGAAAACAAAATTCAAAATAAAATCTCAAATTACTTAACTACGCCAATTTATATTTATAGGTGTATACAAACTATTAGAACCATTCAAGTATAACCTCAAATTAGTTTATCTATGAATTTATCTAGCAATTCATCTAATATTCTAGAAGAAATTTCAGAAGAAATTCTATATAATGCAGCTATCCAAAAAAGAATTATAGAACTGATTCAAAATACAAATAAGAAATTAGATAAAATAAAAAAAATGGTGATTAAAACAAATGCAGAATTAAAAGCATAATTTGTTTCACAAATTGATGATATACAAACTGAAATTAACAATAAAAAAAATCAACTTAACAAACTCAAACAGTATGCTTTCTTACAATGTAAGTCTCAGGCTAAAAAACTTAAACAATTAAATGAAGAAAATATAGTAGTCAGATACGACTTACCTGGTCATTTCTAGTATTATTTGAGTACCCAGACCTTCACAAGCAAATTCATGAATGTATTGAAATTGGCGAAGCAGATGCTAAAAGAAGGCGTAAAACAATTAAGGTTAGAATGGTTGATCATTTACGTAGTGAATTAGATACAAGATATCAAGTATACTTGTCTCGCAACTGCTTAAAAACCTACTTGTTACCTTGAAATAGTAGAAGCATTAGTTCAAGGGCTCACCATTATATAGTGTTAGTAGGTATTGCTAGAGTATCATGAGATAAAAAAAAGAATTATGTTGATGAATACTACTGTCTTGCTTTGATAAAAATGCAAAACAGTTTGTATTAATCTTTTTGGATCATGCTATTATTATATCTCTAAATGACAAGTCCAAAGTCACTGTTAGAATTCCTGTGGTTGGTAAATATTTTTAAACAATACAAATCATCTGTGAACCCATAGCAGTAGCAAACCATGATTTTCCAATTGGTAATGCTCAAAAATTGGTTCCTTCAGTTTATTTAATAATTAATCCGAATGAAGCAAATGAGTCTCTGTGCAATGAACAATTAGCAATTTTGTAAGATCCCAATAGTATATAGGCTCAATATCAGCTACTCACATAGCTGATATTCTTGCTTTAGCAGAAAATATTCAATTTACTGAGGCATTCCAAAATAAAGATAATATAAAGCTACTCTGAACTTTTCTCATAGATGGTGGTCCTGACGAAAACCTAAGATATCTAAAAAACATATATTAATATTGTAAACTTTTTCGCTTTTTCAATCTTGATTATCTTACTATACATACTTATGCTCTGGGACAGTCAGTCTATAATCCAGTAGAAAGAAGTATGGCTACTTCTCAGGAAAACTTGCGAGAATCACTTTGCTTATATATAAGTATAGAACTCACTTTGATTCACAAAAAAAGATACAAGACGTTGAATTGAGCCTCTGCAACTTTTGTTATGCAGAAGAAAGACTTTGTGAACTTTAGAGAAAGGATTTTATATTTGGAAAGCCTGTTTTTACTAAATATATCGATTAACCTAGCACATTATTTATTGGGCTAGAATTTTCAGAAATGATTAATAAACAAGAAATATAACAAAAAAATAAAAAAATAAAAAAAAACCAAATCAAATTGAAAATGATGACTCATCTGTGCCATGGTATTAGATTGAGAATTATTGCCAAATATGTTAATATTCTCTTGATATTCGCAAGTATAATGACCTTACATGTTGCTCTTCTAAACATGCGAAAGAAGCAATAGATCTACTAGCAATTAATAATGATTTTCTTCTACCCATAATAAAAGGTAAAGATAATTACTTCTTAAACTCTATGTATATTTTGAAATACTACAATCATATTAAAATTTCAGCATATGATGCCCATTGTCCTTTGGGCTTAGCTAAGATGCATGTACGAAGAACTTGTACAAAGTGTAACAAATATTTTCCTAAACTGCTTTTATGGCTAAACATTAGCAGCTATGCCACAAAAATAAAAAGAAGTTTAGTATTAGCAGATTTTTTACAGTATTCAGTCTTGTCGAATTCTGTCACGATAGATGATTTTTCTGATTTTTCTTCTTTTCAAGAAATATAATGATTGGAGCCTTTTGTGTTGATTGAGCAGTTTTTTTCTATATCTGATAGTGAATAAAAAAAAGTATAAACAAAATAGAATCTAGGGGTAACTATTTTTAATAGTTGCATTTTAAAAAGATATATCTAAAAGTAGAAAAAAAATAACAATCAGTATTATTCATTAAACTATTATGAAAGTATTCAAAATATTATTAATTTTGCATATAATAAAATAATATATTTGTTAATTAGACAATCTAAAATTTTTAAAAATATTAATACAAGAATACTGTAGTTTTAAACTTAAAATTGCGAATAAAAGAGAAAGTTATGCTCTAAGCTATACGTAAAAGTGTAAATTATCCTTCGAAATTACTACAGTTTGATATAGTACAG